TCAATCTTCAACAGAAATCTTAATTCCATATTTCAGGTTTTCAGTTCTATACTTTCAAGCAAAATCCAAATTGTACTAAATTTAGTACCATATAGTACCTTTCGTACCAATATGTACGAATTTCATAATCTACCTCAGTCCTACATTCCAACAGTCATTTTAATTCCCAATTTGAAGACTTCAGCTCTGTCTGTTCACCTAAATCCAACTTCCACCAAATTTAGTACCATTTAGTACTTTTCGTACGATTTTTTAAAGCTAATTCCGATTATCAAGATTCCATCTCTACACACTCAACTGAATGTAAATAGTACGAAATTAAGTACCATTTTACACTTTTTATACACATAAGTACGAATGTACTTATTTCCGTACATCAACACTACTTCCCAACCAGTATTTCATTTCATATGTCAAGATTCATGCTATATATGTTCAATATATATACAACAGGAAGTACATTCAGTAAAGTTTAATACCTTTAGTACACTTATAGGTCGAATTTCCAAAAACCCTTTGCACATCATTCTAACTTTCCATCAGTGACCAAAATTCCAAATTTCAGAATTCTAGCTCTTCCCGTTCGCTAATAAAAAGGATACCATATTTGGTACATTTTAGTACTTTTCGTACCCTTCTACTTCCAACAAAACTTCCTGCATACCCCGATCCTACACCCCCATAATGACTGTACACTGTAGTATGAATTTCCAAAACTTCCTACTTAACCCATACCTACACTTCACAGAGATCCTAATTCCAAGTTTCAGAATTCCAACGCTATCGGTTCACTCACAATCCAAATTGTACCAAATTTAGCACACAGTAGTATGAATTTCCAAAACCTCCAACTTACCCTAACCCTACAACCCCACAGTGACCCTAAATCCAAGTTACAGGATTACAACTCTATCGGTTCACTCACAATTCAAATTGTACCAAATTTAGTACACAGTAGTACGAATTTCCAAAACCTCCTACTTACCCCAATCCTACACCACCACAGTGATCCTAACACCAAGTTTCAGGATTCCAACTCTATCTGTTCGCCCACAATTAAAATTGTACCACATTTAGTACACAGTAGTACCAATTTCCAAAACATCCTACATACCCCAATCCTACACCCCCACAATGATCCTAAATCCAAGTTTTAGGATTCCAACTCTATCGGTTCACCCTCAATTCAAATTGTACCAAATTAAGTACATAGTAGTACCAATTTCCAAAACTTCCTACATACCCCAATCCTACACCCCCACAGTGATCCTAAATCCAAGTTTCAGAATTCCAACTCCATCGGTTTATCCCCAATTCAATTTGTACCAAATTTAGTACACTGTAGTACGAATTTCCAAAACTTCCTACAAACCCCAATCCTACACCCTCACAGTGATCCTAAATCCAAGTTTCAGGATTCCAACTCTATCGGTTCACCCCCAATTCAAATTGTACCAAATTTAGTACACAGTACTATGAATTTCCAAAACTTCCTACAGACCCCAATCCTACACCCCCACAGTGATCCTATATCCAAGTTTCAGGATTCCAACTCTATCGGTTCACCCTCAATTCAAATTGTACCAAATTTAGTACATAGTAGTACCAATTTCCAAAACTTCCTACATACCCCAATTCTACACCCCCACAGTGATCCTAAATCCAAGTTTCAGGATTCTAACTCTATCGGTTCATCCACAATTCAATTTGTACCAAATTTAGTACACTGTAGTACGAATTTCCAAAACTTCCTACATACCCCAATTCTACACCCCCACAGTGATCCTAAATCAAAGTTTCAAGATTCCAACTCTATCGATTCATCCACAATTCAATTTGTACCAAATTTAGTACACTGTAGTACGAATTTCCAAAACTTCCTACAGACCCCAATCCTACACCCTCACAGTGATCCTAAATCCAAGTTTCTGGATTCCAACTCTATCGGTTCACCTACAGTTCAAATTGTACGATATTTAGTACACAGTAGTACGAATTTCGAAAACTTCTTACTTACCCTAAACAGAGATTCTAAATCCAAGTTTCAGGATTACAACTCTTTCGGTTCACTCACAATTCAAATTGTACCAAATTTAGTACACAGTAGTACGAATTTCCAAAACGTCCCACTTAACCCAAACTTTCACCCCCAGACTGATCCTAAATCCAAGATTTATGATTCCAACTCTATCGGTTCACCCACAATTCAAATTGTACCAAATTTAGTACACATTAGTAAAAATTTTTAAAACTTCCTACATATCTCGATCTTACACCCCAACAGTTACCCTGACTCCAAATTTCATGATTCTAGCTCTATTGGTTCGCATAAAATTCAAATTGTACCAAATTTAGTACCATTTAGTACCCATGAATATAAATTACTGAAACTGGGTAAAAAAATTCCAAAACTACGTACATTCCCAATCCTACACTCAGATGTCCAACTCCTAATGTTAATTTCAAATTTCAGTATTTCAGCTCGATTTGTATCTCCAAATTAAATTTGTACCAAATATAGTATCATATAGAACTTTTCGTACACATGAGTACACGCTTTCAAAACCATCTCCTTAAATAGACTCTACATCTCATCCCTAAGTCGCATTCCAAATTTCAAGTTTTTAGCTCTATCAATTCACATGCTACGAAATTGTACAAAATTAAGTACATTTTAGTACTTTTCGTACCCTTCTATTTCGAATTTCCAAAAACCCGTTGGTACATCTATCCTACACTCAGCGACCACCAATCCAAATTTCAGAGTTCTAGCTCTACCGGTTCTCCAAATACAAATGGTATCACATTTAGTACTTTTAACTCCTGTTCTATTTGCATGAAATTTTGTTGTTGAGATCGGTTAAGATGTATATATAGCTACCTCAAATATTTCTGTCAGATTTTAAGCAAATGGTCCAAATGGAGGAGCCTATGTCTGTTCGCTTTACATGAAATATTGCATAGCGTATTGGTTTGAAGAGGTTTTAGGTTAACATATATCTTCCATATATATTTTCATCCGATTTCATCAAAATGATGTACCAAAGTTCGTCCGGTTAGGACGAATTTGTGCACAACGTACCAAATCAAACCTAGAATAACGTGTACATATTGATATCTTTATGGGTTTTTTTAATTTAATTCAAATATCAATGTACTTCTCGCAGTTAATTTCGTCCGATTCCATTTCAATGATCCTCCACAGATGCTATGTCTATTATATCTACAGGATATTGTAGATATGAGCCCCTCTTGTATGTACCCAAAGTGGCGAAGGTATCATACAGCCGGCCCCGTCCGACTTTTCACCTTTCCTTACTGGTTTGTATTGCAAATGTAGTGAAAAAAATAATATACCCTTCATTATTTTAAATCCTGTGTCAAGCTCTCACTTTTGTTTACAAAAATATATACAATTTCCATTAATAGTTTTATTTCAAAATTTAGTAATAAAATAATTATATAGCTAAATATATTGTACTTAAAAAACTAGAACACATCTATCTATCCATGAAAAATAATCAATCAAAACTACACCACTTTAACTTGACTCAAGTCGCGTTTCTCAATCAAACGCATTTGTTTCCTTTTCATACGTTTCAATTTGGCCGGATTCTTAATGACCTGCACAATTTCAGCCTTACGTTCGTTGGCCAAACGGCGTTCGGCATTTTCCAAACGTCGTTGTTTCTTTTCCAATGCCGCCTCCTTTTTGGCTTCTTTGATTTCGCGTGAACGCTCTTTGATGGCACGCAATTGATTTCGCAGTTCCATTTTCTTTTCGAATGTTAGACGTGGTTTAGTTTTTTGTATGGTGGAGAATCTATGGAGGGAAAAACAGTTTTAATATTTGTAGATGTGTATTAGAGGGTGTTTGTAAAGAACCTACTTGGTTTTTGGTGTTTTCCATGGCCTGTGTGATTTTGGCTGACCGCGAGGTACTTCATTTTCTGGTTTCTTTACTTTCTTGGCGGCTTTAGCTGCAGCCGCACTGGATTCCTTGTTGGCTTCATTTGTCGCTTGGGTAGCTTTGGTTTCTTCTGTCATTTTGTCAATTATTCCACTTTTTTATTGGAAAAAATAAAAATATTAACGTTCCCCTTTAAGTTTTTTCTACACGTGTGATTGTTATTGTTTTCGTTCGCTTATGTTTTTGACAGTTGAACAGGGTTGCCAGAACGTACGCAATTGTAAAACGATTTGATAGACACAATGGAGGCGACAACGGCTGAGTTGAGTGCATTATATTATGTTTACGTCACATCCTTTGAATATTTGCATGACACATTTGGTCTGTTCCAGTATTTTAAAAAGGGAAACATATAAAATCGCTCTCAAAAAAAAAAAAAAAAAAACATCGCTTGCCAAAATTAGATGGCAGTACTTCAAAATCAACATAACACCCAATCAGAAGTTGGCATTATGATCCAATGAACAGGTCGTGTCAGAACAATCGTTATCGACACTTTTGGATTAAAATGCCCCAAGCTGTCAATTTTTTTTCTTTACGTTTTCACACAACTAAGTCAAAATAGAAAGCTCAGTTCGTCCTCGGACGGCTCACAAGAAAGACGTGACCTAAAAAAGTTTAAATGAGTATTATACACTCACGGGCTTAAAAATAGATTTTACAAAATGGCGGTTGTTAAGCGTTCGCTTAACTAACACGTGTGTTTTCAAATACGGATAACCTATAAAGTCCGAGTCGTTCAACAGAATCCAAACAGCTGCGCATGTAATTTTTAGATTTCGTAAATTTAGTAACTAAAGAAGATGCTTCCCGCAACTATGTGACTCCTTCACAGTAGAAGAGTTCACTGATACACAAGGCTTAGAAAGTCTGAACATTGTGGTCAAATTCTTAAAGAAGATCGAAGTCAACCTGTAAAACACAAACCACCATATATGGATAAAGTCAAATTCTTTCTACACATGTAGACATGGCTCTGAACATTCTAACACCAAATAGGACGTGAGCCAAGGAGGAGAGGAGTTAATTGAAAAAAAAATTGAAAGCATTTTGACAGCTCGGGTAAAATCATCTGGACTTATCGGACGGCCTTATTATTGAATCATGGGCAAAATTTGTTACCAGTTTTGTGGGTTCAGGAACGGTTTTCGAGTAAAAAGTAAAATTTAGGATTTCTTTAGGTCCTAGAACGGAATTATTATTGTAATTGTTATTATGCACGAAACAAAATATATATGCCGAAAAACATCCACTCTTTTGGGGCACATCGGTTTTGGATTCGCCGAAATGCAGCAATTCATTACTCTGATCATCCCATCGTTTCAGGAAACAAAAAGGTAATTTCAGGTCGAATAGCCGAGATGAAAATCAAATTCTTAGCGGAAGCAGAATTCAAGAGTGAGGAAACTTTGGGGGTCAGATGATTAATCGCCGTACATAAAATGAAAGAACCATTATAGAATCTCAGTCAGATTTAACGTCCTCATGGAGCTCACGATGGAGAGCGTGCGGGTAAATTCTTTCGAACTTTCTTACGAATTTCATCTTACCATAGATGAGATGAACCTCGCTCTCCGAAAGCAAATGCGTTTTGACCCATCTTCATCTTACCATAGATGAGATGAACCTCGCTCTCCGAAAGCAAATGCGTTTCGACCCACGAATTTGTGAAGATACGATACGGCACGTTTGTAGTGCTTCGCATCGGATACTTCTCGGGCTTTTGAACCGCTGTCCTTTGTTGGGTTCTCGATAGATTCTCCATCGTCCGACATCGCCTCCGTCGTAATTTGCCTTCGAAGTTCATTGTCGGCAAATGGTCGGTCAACAAGGTCTACGCTTCCTTCGTTGAGGCTACAACAGTCTCCCTGTGTAGACTTGGGCGGAATCACCGTAGTGTCCAGGTCATCATCAGTCAAGCTAAAATTTAGTAGCAGTTCCTCCGGAAGCGTATCCCCACTTTGCTCTTCCGGTAAAAGCCTGTCTAGTTGGTCGAAGATGTCCCTACTCTGCTCCTCTAGACTATCGCGGATAGCGTTTAGGATCCCGTGTAAGTCGTCCCCTCCCAGAACTACAGTCCTGTCAGTCATAGACTGATTTGCATCTGTCTTGACTTGCTCCTTTACCAATTGAATTGCCTGTTCGTCAACGTTATTAGGGTTTGAAATTGATGCGCTTGTAGCAGGTACAGATGCCAAGGCATCCACACCTAGAGCAGCCGGTTCACAATCGCTTCATCTCGACGATACGTGACTTGTGGTCTCACAAACAATTGCCGCCGATACTGGCTTATTAACTCCCTGCACCGTAACTTTATTCCTTTTGTTCTTCTTTACCATCTCAATTTATTCGGTCCACGGGGGATCCGAAGATCCTCATGGTTTTCACGAAGTGCAGAGAAAAGTGGACCTAGGTTAGCTTCACTCTGCACATCATAGAGACCCCCTTCCCATCCGCAACCCGGGAAGACGCGTCTAGTAGGAGATTGGCAAATCCCCTAGGGGGAGTTATTGTGAGAATCTGTACTAGTTTTTCAATAAAAAATTAATTAAAATATAAATTCTATAAAATCTAATTAACAATAATTCTTTATTTACAACATATACAGGATGATTTTGTGCAAACTATTTTTTGCAGCGGTATTTTTCTAATTCATAGTTGTTTTGTTTCCGTTTTGGTAAATCTATTTTTAGCATATTAACAAATAATATAAATCATAGATTAACTTAAAGCATTAAACTAATAATAATATTAAATGAATGAACAATAACAATAGCAAACATTACGCACAGCTAACGGAACAGTTTTTGTGTAGTGACAATTTTAATGGCTAACGCTTAGGAAACCAATTGGAAAATATTCCTACAAAAACAAAAGGTACCTGATTATGACTAAACGTAGTAAAATAAACCCCTTTTAATGGGTTTCTTATCAAATTGTGTCCTTATTGATTTCGCATTTTTTCACTATGCTGTTCGACATTGTAGTGATAGAAAAATGATTTACTATATTCGAATGTAGAAATCATTATAGCACATGCCGGGGCGACCTTAAAGAGTCGCGGTCCCAAACCGGCAAATAGACCAGAAACACCATTAGTGGCATAGATTGTGGCAAGGCGTTTTGTTAGACTTGCGGTGGGTAATTGTTTGACTGGTTTATCTAAAAGAAGAAGAAAATGGGAAATTTTACTAGATTGATTTTTTTTAAATAAAAAATTAAAAAAAAAATACAAAGTCTTGCGAAAACATCTATCATCATAATGTATTTCAAATTGTGTTTAAGCTTCGTCATGCTATTACAGCAAGATTGATATGATAAGGCAACCAAAACAATTATATTGAACATGCTATTTAATAAAAATATGTGCAGTTATTAGCTAATGTTGTCCATCGGTAATTTATGTACTCTAATCACTTGAAAAAAAAAAAAATGTACTCATTGACTGAGAATTTTTTTCTACATAGAAAAAATACTGTAGACTTGTTTGCAAAGATTTGGACATCTACATCAGATTTAATGATATTCAGACCTGCTCGATAGGCATGTTGAAATATGTTGGTTAGAATGACTATCTCTTTGAATCACGAAATAAGTTGCAGTTTTCAGGACGGCTTAAGGAAATTTTCATATTTTTTAACTTTACGCAGATAGCTGTGGTTTTCAACATACTGTTTTATATCATTAGAACCCTCTCGGAAGATCGTGTAGATCACACTAGGTTCTATCCACCATATAATGGTTATTAAGGCTTTATCTGAAGGATAGCAGTTGTAGCAGTTTATATGAATGTTGTTCTTCTATTGGATTCAGTCAGGTTCTGTCTCCAAGTTAAGAAATGTAACCAATTTCAGTAAATGCAACACAGATCTTCAGGAGTAAGTCGGGAGGATTTTTCTGCACCATCCTGAACGTAATTGGGCCAAAACTACTCTGATTTGTCTGGGCAGCTGACGTTCTTCAGCTGCAATTGGTGGGGGTGAGCTCCGAGGACGGCATTCACTCTGTATTCGTTCAGCGCTGCGGCAACTGCATCAGTATGAATGCTATTCAGACATGGCCACTTGATCTATAGGCTCCCTTTTATAACGTTGGACCTCTCATTCTAGATCATGGAGATCCTTACTGACACGCCTGGATGAGGGAGTCTTATCCACTATATGATGGTTAAGAGCACCCAAGCAGGTATTGCAACGAAAACATATTGCTATGATGACGTAAGGACAGGATCTTCGTCCCCTCATGTAGATAGTCCACTGGTATAATGAGGAGAAACCGTGCCGCAGTTCTCAGGGCGGGATTCTGACTGGTCTGAATACTTTTCCATTGCATAACACTAGTATTCGAAGAACACACTGGTATCGCTTTGTAAGGTTTCCTTATATGCGCCCAAGAGCTGCCGGCGAGCGACTTAAGCACCATTTTTTCTACTTTTCAAGTTATCGCAGATAGCTGTGGTTTGCGCAGACGATTTAAGATTATGCTGGCGAATGTGACCCCGAGTATTGTGTGCCCCGAGTTGGTGGTCGGGATTGTGTGCTCCTCGACCTGCACATTCAACGGCAATCTCATCTCCAAAATCCATGTGGTGAATATTGTGGCCGACGATTTCGTGGCGGATATTTTCATATTCCTCGCAGTTAAAACAACTAGCGGTCCCAATTTTGGAACACTTCAAATGCTTTAACCATTTATTCCCCTTATGCTCCCCGAATTAATCCACTGACCTCCATTCCGGGTTCCGTAGCCCTTTAATGTGCGAGGTTAGATCGACGTAGCAGATCACGCTCATTTGCTAGTCCAACTGCCTCTGATGAGGAATTAGGTCTCATCTGGTGTATTCGACCAACAGAAGTAAATCTTCACAATTCTTCTACCCGTACATCAGAAGGAATGCGAAGTGTTCGACAAGCAGTAATAAATCTAGTGGCTGTAGCAGCAATGATGTCTCAGAATTTCTATCTAGCTTTCCGTAGGAATGGAAGCTTTCTAAAACGATTGATTGGTGAAATTTTGAAACTCCACCAGTGGGGTTTCCAATGATTAAGGAAATTGAGGCGTTCAGAGTTGATGAAATCGGGTGTTCTGCTGATGGAGACATTTATTGAAAGGTGGTCTGATCCGAGAGAATTCAGAGACTGTCATTTAACCGCATTTATCAAACCGGATTACATGATGGTTATATCTGGATAACTGCGACACTCCATTTTTTCTGGTTGTGGCATCATGATTCACCATAAAAAATGTGAAGCTGCTCTGGCAGCACGGTGTTCCTCTGGCGAATACCTAGGGCGAAATATAGCAAATCATGGTGTGTATTAAGGTCCTCTAATACCAGACGGCTTTTCCCTTCAATAGAAGGCAAATAACGCGGTTCACAGTTATTAAGCGGCTGTATATACACGTTAAGCACTCCTACCTGGGCTGTACTACATGTGTCATGTGGATTTATGCTTTTAACTTGTATTGTGTTTATATTGAACGAATAAATTTTGTTATATTCATATGATATTGCTTATTTTTATCACTGTATCGAACATATCTGACCAGTCCATTTTACTTCTGTTGTAAATGATCGATAAGAGTATAATAATCTTAAGAGTTTTATCAACTCACCTGCAAATATAACTTTTTCGCCAAATTCAATTTGTTCATGAGTTTTCACCACATCGAAAGGGGTTGTTATTGTTGCCGCTATCTGTTATGAATACAAACAAACTTATTGTTAATATCAACAACAACAATTGAATAGATAACAAATGTAATGCATAGCTTAGCAGAAAAAAAATCATCCACAGTACTATGATAATTTATTTTGCCATTCACAATGCCCTGCACTGCACACTTACCGAACCAGAAATAGCACCCGCTATAAAACTGAATGCGAATGTTGGCTCAATCACACCATAATGCGTTTTAATCGATTCATATGATGCCCAATAAATGCCCGAAAAAGGTACATCACGCAGTATAGTGGGACGTAGACCACGCCACAGACCCCATATGCCTTGTGATTGTACCACATTTCGTATGGCGGTTGTCACTTGGGCGTATGTCATTTTTTCCGATTGCATTTTGGTGCGTATAAGCTCAACAGGATTTACAAAGGTTACGGCACATATGCGTGCCGTAACACCAGCTAATAGCGGCACCAGCAGTGGGATGTCACGACCGCGGGGAGAACCTTTAACTTCGGCCAGGTACTTATAGTGAAATTCTAAAAATTTCGATTTGAATTGTTCATAGCCAACAAAATATATAATTGTAGATGGAAGAGCTGATATTAGAGTGGGTCCCAGACCGGACCACAGGGAGCGTATACCCTCTGTGCGGCTTATATGGATAAATGCATCCTACACAAAACACTTTTATTAATACTTGTTTTTTAACACATCCTAATAAAATACTTACAACTGTCCCATTTAGCGGTTTAATAGGTTTAACATCCGGAAAGGAAGCCTTGGCATCACACGGACACAAATGATCCATTAACCCATTGCAGTAAAGAAAACATTTGTTCGACATCTTGGCCTGTTGGGCCTGCAAACGAGTTTTGATTACATCCAACGGAGTCACTGTGGATAAATAAACAAACATTTAGTTATTTACATATTCATGAAAGTTCATTTAGCTCCAAAACATGAATTTGTCTTACTAAAACATGCCGTCAACATTGCTCCCGTGCATGCTGATGCAACTTGCTGTACCGGTCTGATATTGAAACGTGGATCATCCAAACGAGCAATGGACTTTGTCGCACCCATAATAACTTCCGACTGACCAACATCGGTTCGTTGTAATGGCAAAACTTTGGTATTGTCATTTATCATTGTGGCTCTGTTGTTGCTGTTGTTCATTCGGAATTTCGTCAGGTCTTTGTGAAATTACAAGCTGGAAAATATAAAACAAAACACCATTATATATAGATTTCAGTTAAAAAACAATGCGTTTTACTAACCTATTAGACTATTCTTCGTGGGTCATTGAGATATCTTCCGGTAGAAAAATCTTAAACTCAAATTGCGTATAAAAACATTTTCTGTCCACTGATATTGTCTTCTTATTTGGGAGTCTAATCAAATCAAATTTGGTCGTTCGTTCCCGACTATCAGTACAAAACTATTTGGATGACTGTTTGACATAACAATAACATGAGGAAACATGATCCACACAACAGTAGAACCAAACTTTACTACCCAAATTGGCAAAGTAAACAAATGCTATCGTATACAAAACACAAAGTTCATGTTGTGGGAACAGCTGATTGCCAAGGTCATATATTTGATAGTTAAGGTTGATTTAGACTCTGTGATGAGGTTATTTGTTTAAATGAGCGAGATTTATAAAAAATGCAGTTGAACATGTAAAAATTATGGTCCAATAAAAAATGGAAGAGTTTCCAACGAAAATAAAAAAGAGATATGTTTGGAAAACTCTTCTATTAATCGAAATTGTTCCCTACTTAATAAATTTGAAAACTTTTACCACTTTTTAGAGGAACAGAACAAATGTTTCTTCCATTTTTTAAAAGTTTTTGTTCCAGTACTTTTTTAAATTCTCATGTTGTGCAAAATGGTGTGCTCAATTTCAAAAAGTAGCTCTCAGAAAAAAATGTGTTGAAAATGTTACGAAATGTGTTCAATAAAAAACAATTGCAAATTCCAATGTGCAATTTGTTTAACAACAAAATAACAGAAAAAATATGCCTTCTGGCTGTTAATTGCCATTATTACCAGAAAAATTTCTAAAGATACTGGAACGTGTTAAAATAAGCAATTTTGTTAGAAGTTGGTCTCTTCTTACACAAGGGTTTGATTCCCGAAAGCCTGCAGTTAGCGCTACCAGTTTTGTGCTGTTGGTGGATTTCAAAAGTGGCAAATGATTTAAAAATAAGTGTTGATCGCACAACAATGTGTAAAATATTGTGGAGAGTAATGAAAGTCCTGGAAGACGAAGTGTGTGCAAGCTGTGGACAGCTGCTAATTTTACTATAAAAACTAATGTAAATACTGTATTTTTTAAATAAATATTGTAAAAACGCGTTAAATATTACTTCTGCGTTTTTTTCAACTTGTAGGTGCTCAGAAAAATACGTACGATCTCATTTCGTTTTCAATCACTTTACTATTTTATTATATTTCAATATTTTTTGGGAATTCGAAATGGAGCACACCAAATTTGGGAAAATGTTTCACATTCGAGCAAACTCGAAATGCAGCACATGGGCGTTTCTTCATATTTTCTAACCGGATTTCGTTAACCCAGTGGGTTATACTAGATTTTACTATTTTCTTCGATATCATAAAGGAAAATTCGTTATCGTAGCAAAAAGTACTAGATTCTTGCAGTACGGGAACAGACCATCTGGCAAGCGATTTTCGAATATATTTTGTTATATTTTTCAAAACATTACACACACATATGACTTTGGCATAACAAGCCACAGTATAAACAACTTTTAATTTATAGGTTGCTATGGCCTTCCTTGAATAATTGTACCATGGTACGAATTTCCAAAAACCCAGACTTATCTGTCACCTTTGGACCAAGAGTGAATTTCAAGATTGTAGCTTCAGCGTTTTAGTCTGGGCTTTGATGAATCGTTAAGTCAGTCAGTCCGTCAATCACTTTACTATTTTATTAGCACAGATTACAAAGTTTTAGAATGACTGGAGAAAAGGGAGCTAGATGAACGATCGTTCCTTTTAAAGCTTTTAGCCTCATTTCCTCATTGAAGTGGCTGTATTTGACACGCCCGCATTCATAGCAAATAATAAACTTCTGTAGAAAAATTTTTCAGTATAGTTTCATCTTTTTACATAGCCTCCAAAAAATACCCCAGAAAGTCCTAAGAGACAATGGTAAAAGGAGCAAAAAGAATAAAGTTACGGTGCAGGGAGTTAATAACCCAATACCGGCGGCAATCGTTAGTGAGGTCATAAGCCACGTGTCGTCGAGATCAAGTGATTGTGATCCGGCTGTTCTAGGTGAGGATGCCTTTGCGCATGCAGCTGTATCTGTTACAAGTGCATCAATTTCGAATCCAAACGTTGACGAACCGGCAATTCTTTTCAGTTTCTGGCTGACAAGACTGTAGTTCTGGAAGTGACGATGTACACGGGACTCTAAATGCTATCCGTGATAGTTTAGAGTAGAAAAGTAAAAGGGATACGCTTCCGGAGGAACTGCTACTAAATCTCACCCTAACTGAAGATGACCTGTACACCACGGTGATCCCAGCCAAGTCTACACAGGGGGACCGTGTTGACCGACCGACTTCAAATCTGACTACAACAGGCCCTTGTCGGCACTTGCCGACAATAAACTTCAGAGGCAATCTGCGACGGAGGCGATGTCCGACGATGGGGAATCTGTCGAGACCCCAGCAACGGCTCAAATGTTGGGAAGGCCCGAGAAGTAGCTGATGCGAAACACTACAAACATGCTGTTTCGTATCTCCGCAAATTCGTGGGCGAGATGTGAATTTGATTTCGGAGAGGGAGGTTCATCTCATCAAGGGCATGATGAGATTCGTAAGGAAGTTCGAAAGAATCTATCCGCACGCTCTCCATCGTGAACTCCAGATGGACAGGATCTCCCTCTCGAATCCTACTGCTCGGATAAAAGTAGTGGAATCGGCGAAGCCGACTGTCTCTGACAAAGGTGATAAGCCGACTTCTGATCTGAAGCCTAGCTCGAAGTCTACTGAGAACATCCCGTAACAAAAAGTCACCCAAAAGGGTGACAAAGGTGAAGCTAAAGCTTTTGGTGGATCCACCAGTGGTCGGAATAGGAAGAAGGGAAAATCCGGCAAGGAACCATCGACTCCTGGGAGAGCAAATGCCTCCCCACAGAGCAAATCTTAGAAGCGCATCCGCTCATCAGAAGGTTCGCACCATTCACCCAAGAAGAAGATGACTTCGCGTCTGACTGACTCATCTACATCATATGCTGCTGTCGCTGGACAACAAACGGCAGAGAAAAAACCTAGTACAGAGAAGGCATAACCTCCTCTGGAAAGGCAAACTCTAATGTTCGTAGTCAGAGACAGCGGAATCCATATGACAGACCGACCAACGTAGCTGCTAACGAAGACCTTCAATAGGCAATCATTGACAAATCTGATCCTCATGGCAGGATTAGCGATAGTCATTGGTTGGTCTTTGAAGGAGCCCTTCGGTCGGCTTTCGTCTGTGGGTCGGAACAGGGGGATCGGCAGCTTGGCAGTGCCTTCATGCAGAAGGGCGCCAAATTCATCAACTGATTAAACAGGAAATCAAAAGATTACCTCGTGAAAACTGTTGACGGCTTTGGCAAGGAGCCGACATTGCTGCGGTCTCCCTATCTGAGATCCCAACCAAAAAAATTTTTTTTGGAGGAAAAAATAAAACTCCCAAAAAGATTTGTTATTTTTGTCGCAAAAATAAAAATAATTTTTAACAGTTAAAAATCAACGTTTATTTTTTCCGCTAAAAATAAATAATCAAAGTGGATTTTTTATTTAGGCCACAAAATTACTGTTATTTTTTAACTGATTTGATATTACTTATAAACGTTACGGCCCCTGGATACATCACCTTATTATTGTTTCATGGTCTATACGCTGCTAGTTAATCCACATTAATCGATTAATCATGAGTCGAACCATCTGGAAGGCTCTGTCTCATAGCCAGCGCCTAGCGACAAAGGTGAAGCTAAAGCTTTTGGTGGATCCACCAGTGGTCGGAATAGGAAGAAGGGAAAATCCGGCAAGGAACCATCGACTCCTGGGAGAGCAAATGCCTCCCCACAGAGCAAATCTTAGAAGCGCATCCGCTCATCAGAAGGTTCGCACCATTCACCCAAGAAGAAGATGACTTCGCGTCTGACTGACTCATCTACATCATATGCTGCTGTCGCTGGACAACAAACGGCAGAGAAAAAACCTAGTACAGAGAAGGCATAACCTCCTCTGGAAAGGCAAACTCTAATGTTCGTAGTCAGAGACAGCGGAATCCATATGACAGACCGACCAACGTAGCTGCTAACGAAGACCTTCAATAGGCAATCATTGACAAATCTGATCCTCATGGCAGGATTAGCGATAGTCATTGGTTGGTCTTTGAAGGAGCCCTTCGGTCGGCTTTCGTCTGTGGGTCGGAACAGGGGGATCGGCAGCTTGGCAGTGCCTTCATGCAGAAGGGCGCCAAATTCATCAACTGATTAAACAGGAAATCAAAAGATTACCTCGTGAAAACTGTTGACGGCTTTGGCAAGGAGCCGACATTGCTGCGGTCTCCCTATCTGAGATCCCAACCAAAAAAATTTTTTTTGGAGGAAAAAATAAAACTCCCAAAAAGATTTGTTATTTTTGTCGCAAAAATAAAAATAATTTTTAACAGTTAAAAATCAACGTTTATTTTTTCCGCTAAAAATAAATAATCAAAGTGGATTTTTTATTTAGGCCACAAAATTACTGTTATTTTTTAACTGATTTGATATTACTTATAAACGTTACGGCCCCTGGATACATCACCTTATTATTGTTTCATGGTCTATACGCTGCTAGTTAATCCACATTAATCGATTAATCATGAGTCGAACCATTATCGCCGACTTGCGCTATCCCTAACCGGCAATTCTCGCATGCCTCCTTTCTCAAACAAGACGGCGGCTTCTTTAGATGTCTCCCATCACACTCCATTCGTAAATTTAATTTTTCGTTTTCCACTTTGAGTTCCTTGTTTATCGGCCATTTTTTCTTATCCCCCATTTGGAACGTTTTTAATTTAGCTTAGGCAATGTGTCACACATCATCACGGTCATCACACGTTTGCCGGTTTTCGCTGAGACACGTCCACCGTTTATTTGTTCAGCGAACTTAACCAAATTAGGTAGTAAACCAATTGTGGTTGGTGTTGTTGCAGAAAAACGAGCAACAGTTTGAAGAGGCAAATAAAAGAAGTTAATTTTTTTAAAGTGTATAAATTAAAAAACAAAAATGATGGCGTGGAAAAATTTATTGTTCGTGTCTTTGGCGTTATTCGCAATGATGCCATTTATTGCTGCATCGGAAGAGGAAGAGAAAAACTTTGCCGTTGAATTGACGGCTGAAACTTTCGATGAGGCTATTGCGAAAAATAATCATTTTGTTAAATTCTTTGCACCATGGTAAGTAAAAATATGTATTTGAATTCAATTTTAAAAATTCCTTTATTCTAATTAGACAATAGACCCTTTGTTAGGTGTTGGTTGCATTGCATGGCTAAAACTCTTTGTTTGCGTGCAATTTTTCTTTTTTCCTTTATTCTTCCCTCCTTCTGGCAATCAAACAATTTATAATGAACACGTACTTCATATTGCATTTGATAAGCTTCTTCAAGTGCCGATCCGGCGACAACGACGGGTTCAATGAAACGAAAGGGTGAAGAACAACAATGATTTTAGATTTGTTGATATCTTTACAAAACAAAAATACTAAAATTAGAAACTCAATATTTTCAATTTCATTTTTATTTGAACAAAGGCTCACAAAGTTGTTGTCGTCTCATGGGTCTCCAAGGAGGGGTATCATTACACCGAGTTTTTGTATATATTTCTTTATCGCTACGCTGCTTGACACTCATAAATAATATCTACATCAAATGATAGGGTATTAATTCAATGAATCCCACTTGATTTTGATGAGTTGACACATATATTTATTTACTCTAGCACACTTTGCATTTCAAATCTTCCGTCGAAGACGACGACACCGATGATAAGAAGGGTTGCCCATGTTTTCGGGTTCATATTACTGATTACAAACAACATAAATTAGAGGAATTATGTTGCTGGTGTATACAAAATTCCGACTGTTGCGTTGCTTATCAACTACGTGAGACTTCGGTTACTTGATATTTCGGAAATACATAAGATTGTTGAATGAATTCCTTCAGATAAGCAAGATGCATGGGTTTCTAATGAATCACTAATTTGTGTACATATTACACTTGGCATGCAACTGGTTTAATTGTTAATTGATATGTACAGTCAATTGTGTGCATAATATTCATAGACAGATTAAAGAGAGTTCCAACTTCATCTTAAAAAATGATTAAAAAAAACGGCATGTAAGAACGTCCAACTCGATGTGGACATACAAAATACTACAATATACTACACAAAGTGGTTGGCATTGGAAAACGAAATACCAAACTATATTGGGTTTATGGCCCGGAGTCGGATCGTTTTGAATTTTTCACTATAAGTAGTTTCTAATATTAACGACCTACCCCATCCTAATATGGGTATCAATTTGAAGTGGTTGAAGTTCTGATTGCAAAAATGCAATCACTTTATTGAAAACTCCATACTAATTAATTTAAAAGATATTCTATATAATTGCTGGTGTTGGCATCTGCCCATAGAGAATTTTAGAAATGGCGGCATGTGCTAGATAGCCTGAGCGGGTCAAATTCCAAATATGTCCTTGGTATACTTGTGGTATTTCGAAATCCACATATTCCTTTTGACTTTCTTTTATGGAATAGCGTGCTCACAAGGTTGCCAGAGATGCCACCTTCAAGGTTTGTGCGTATGCGGACGACTATATGATCATGTTTAAAGGGAATATTTGCTTTGAAGTGGAAAATAGTGGTGTGTATGCCGCTTGATCTTGAGGTGACATGTAGGGGTATTAAGTATATGCTTAAGCGTTGCTTGCAGTAGGATTAGAATGATTGGCTCTGGCCTTCTGATCTGATGGATGAGTACAGTTGGCGATACAGCACTATCCTTCGGCAGTGTGTTGTTGATAGGTGGAGACACAGTGACAAAGGGAGGGTGACGTGTTGAGTGTGTTGTGGTGTCGGTTGCCGCGGTCAATGTCCGCGAGGACATCATGTTAATTGTTTGTGTTCCGTGTTCTTGTTCATCGTTGTTGCAGTGTTTATTCTTGTCATTAGCGGTGTTGCTGCTTGAGGTAGGCCAAATGGCAGGAACTCACATAAATTCTCAGTAGATTCTGTTACGTAGGTGGTGTTGGCATCTGTCTATAGGAGAAAGTTTTAAATCCCCGTCCAAAGGGAGACCACATGCAAAAAACTTGTTTATTTGAAGACAGAACTTCAAAACTTCAACCGTTTTCAATTAATATCCATACCAAAATCCAGACCAAAAAACTTTAGAATTTTTAAAGTCTTGGGAAAATAGAAATATCTTAGCGGAATTTCGTAGGTCCATATTTAAGGTTTTTTCAGATTTCTGCATGAAAAACATTATATCGTTGTAATCAGGATGCTTCGTAATAGTCAGTGTTTCGTTAAAATTTTACAAGAAAAAGTTACTTCAATATGCAGATGTTCATGGTTTTTAATGTATATATTTTGTTTAATATTTATAGATGATTTATCCTATGCTTAGTTTCATATATTTTTATTTTTCATATGTTTTAATTTGAATTTATGAATTGATTAATAATTAATCGTTAATTAATTTTAAGCCTTTGGAGTAGTTCATGTATTGTTGGTTATGATATAATTAAGTGATATACTGTTAATTTTAAGCTTTTGGAGTAGTCCACGTAAAGAAGTTTTTGGAATCGCTCATGGCCCTTTGGGCTAGGTTCTTGTTTATGAAATAAATTGAAATTGAATTGAATAAACGATCGGCGAACGGAAAATTTGACTTTTGGTAGTGGTGTGGGCGGAGGCTAATAAACAGATTAAAAAAAGGTCCTACTCCACTTTAAAAATATTTGATTTTAAAATAAACAAACGTCAGGCCGGGTCGAACTTTCTTTGTAACCATGTACCCACACCATGGTTTGGGCCTTCAAACCTTGGATAATAAAAATATTATAAAACTTTTTGGGACTATACCAAAGCAATGTTTGGGCAAAATTTCAAAGCATTATACTAAAAATTACGAGCTCTACATTGAGTCGGACATGGCTAAATTGCTATAAAATTGTATTCCTTATGGGTCCTTCAACGAAAATATCGAGTTACTGCAAACTGAATAATAGATTTAATATACACTTAAAAAAATCAACTCTGTGATTTCTATGGTTGCAATTACTTTTGGAATTTTGGATAGGAAAGTGGAAAAGTGCTGCTCTGCTTTTATGCCGGAAATACACATAAGCTCTTGGAGAATTATGTCCTCAGATCATTGTGAAATTTTTAGACGGTTCAATGAAACTGTTTTTGGAAGTAATGTCAGTTTAAATAACGAATTATGGCAAATAGATCTGAAGGAAGAAATCAGGAGATATACGGGCTTCAACCTTTTATCAATTCTGTGTCATTTCAACCTACCAACATGATTCTTTGAAAATGCGAAATTTCGTAATATACCTTCCGTATTATGTTACCTTATCAAAATACCCTAATTTTTTTTAAATACATACACTTGTTTGCAAATTATGATTTCAAGAACAATTAATTTAAAAACCCAACAACTTGTCAACATTTGCTGATTAGTTTTTTATTATCCCATGATATGGGATTTATTTTAACCAGCCAAGTGGTGTTCCTTATCATCATTTTTTAGTGTTTATTAAATTATCATGTTTTTAATTTCAAATATTGTGTGTTGTGTGCACCCTTGTTCCTCTTTCACAATGTTGCAATGATTCTATTAAATAAATAATATATTTACATATCTCTTAGTTTTCAATTGTAATTAATTATGTCATATGCTCATTTAATGTTAAATGTCACAATCTGTTTTCTTTTCAGGTGCGGTCACTGCAAACGTCTGCACCCTCTGTGGGAACAACTGGCCGAAATGATGAACGTGAAAGATGAACCACAAGTTATCATTGCCAAGGTTGATTGCACCCAACAGCAAGAATTGTGCGCCAAACATGAAATCACCGGCTATCCCACCCTACGTTTCTTCAAATTGGGTGAAACTGAATCGGTGAAATTCAAGGGCACCCGTGATATGCCTGCCATTACCGAATTTATTAACGAACAATTGAATGCCGACAATGAAATTCCCCACGGTGAGGAGAAAGAAGGAGAGAAAAAGACTGAGGGCGCAGCTGTGGTTGTTGAAAAGGGAAAACTTGTTGAATTGACCGAAGACAATTTCGCCAAACATGTATCCAGTGGTAATCATTTTGTTAAGTTCTATGCTCCCTGGTGCAGTCATTGCCAGCGATTGGCTCCCACCTGGGAAGAATTGGCCAAGGCTTTGCAAAATGTTCAAGATGTCAGCATTGCTAAGATTGATTGTACCGTTCATCGTCCCATCTGTCAAGATTTTGAAGTTAAGGGTTATCCCACCTTGTTGTGGATTGAGGATGGCAAGAAGATTGAAAAATACTCTGGTGCACGCAGCCTCGAAGAATTGCAATCGTATGTTAAGAAAATGTTGGGCAATGATGTGGCCACTGAGGCACCTGCCACCGAGAAAGCTTCGGATGATGCCGATAAATTGCAAGTCTTGCAATTGAATGGTGATAACTTTGCCCCCACTGTTGCCGATGGCGTGTAACATTTGTTAAATTCTATGCTCCCTGGTGTGGCCATTGCCAAAAATTGAGTCCCGTCTGGGATCAATTGGCTGAGAAATTGCATGCCGCTCCAAATGCCATTAAAATTGCCAAGGTTGACTGTACCGCTCCCGAAAATAAGAAACTATGCATTGAACAAGAAGTTGAGGGTTATCCCACATTGTTTGCCTACAAAAATGGTGTACGTCAAAGTGAATATGACGATAGCCGATCTCTATCCGAATTGGTGGCCTATATTACCAAATTCGTAAGACACGACGAATTGTAAATTGAAACAAAACCCCATAAATATACTTCCACCGTTTCTCTTTGCATCCAATTCTAATTGGAATCAATTTTACAATGAAAGATCAACAAAAATATGCCATCATAAAATATACACTTGCATTTATATACCTCTACTCCTTTACCATCCATCCATTCATATTATTTCAATCAATAGTCTTTTTTTGTCCCTGTTTTATGTTTTGTTTATTTAGTTAAATTATTTCTTGTATATTGTTTTATTTGTAAAATTTTGTGTGAGTGTTTCAACTATATAATTGTTTTAATTTTTTATAACTATTTTTTTATTTTATTTTATACATTTATTTTGTTTTGTAAAATTAAAAAAAAAAGAAAATCCTCTCAAATTAGATTCACAATCATAAAATTAAGATAAATAATACAAATCACATGAAATAAAAAAACGATGTAGTTTTAACTAAATGAATATTAAAAGAAAAAAATGGTTTTTATTACACAGCAACTGTTTCGAAGAATGGCTCCCTCTTATGAAAGAAAGTAAAAGATCGAAGTCCGAAGAGACCAACTAATGCTCAAGACCTCTTTTAGGTAGTGGATTTGACACAAAAGTTGACACCAGTCGGTCTCATTTTATGAATCATCTAGAACCTCCAATAAAGTCTTGATTTAATTCTGTAGGACAAAGAAAAAGTTCTTCTATAGAAGGAGAACATTCAATTCTAAGACAGAACGGTTGTTCCATAAGCCGATAATATACCATAAGACCAGACCAGGTGCGTTCATTGCAAACGTCTGCACCCTCTGTGGGAACAACTGGCCGAGATGTTCGGAATGCAAAATTACAACCACTTCAGTTGTAAAATATGCCGTGAGAACAACAAAATTCCTTACATGGGTTTTAATTTGTGCTTAAAATAGTCTAGAACCCGGAAGGCATTGTTTAATGGGACCACGGAGTGAGATCAATTCTCCCAGCTGTACATGGACCATCCACAGCCATCTCCACCTATAGGGAGTTAACTCGACCCACCATCGTATGATAATGTAGGATATCTTTCAATCAAGAAATCTCCCAACGTCGTGTGTGAATGGTCTATTTCCGAATGAACTTGATTAAAGAGACTACATTGTCATTAATAGTATTCGAATCACGTTTGACTAAACAGGAACCTAACTGGTCTTAGTAATAGGATCATAGAAGGGAACGAGATAGCCGACGAGCTTTCTCGAGGGGGCTCACAATCTTCCGATTGAGAGATCTGTGTAACCACCCATTTGCTATTTCATTGGCAAAATCCGTTTGTTTTACGGCGAGGTAGTCCGTAACAGATGGTCGAGAGAACCTGGTTGCAGAATCTCAAAAGCTATCTGGCCTGAATTCTCTCGCCGAATAAGTTCTTCGCTGTTGGCACATAATAAGAGGGAGAAAGAGAGAGAGAACCAAATCATTGTGGGGATTATAACAGGTCACTGCAGGATTAGATCTCTCATTTCGAAATGGGACTCCAGCGGAGAGAATTACTGTTGTCTATGTGAGGACGAAGAAGAGCTAGAAACAATTGAAATTATCCTCTGTAGATGTCCATCGCATCTACCATCTCTTGGCTCTCCTTCTCCTACTATTTTCTCCTCTCTTCCACTCTCCCTTCTTTTCTCGTTTTTTTTTTTCAGGTATCAAGGATGATTACTATGGACAATAGTCTTCCCTAACCTAACCCTATCTGGTCTCAGCGGATATTGTTCTTCTTGCAGCTCGTTTGTAGCAGAGTAAGATTTGGGTAGTTTCGGATCGTGGAATTTGATGGTTATCACCATTCATACCCACATCTATGGATTCTTGCCTCTGAAGCATCAGCTTGTCACCTGTCGACTTGACGTTACATACCACCTTCGGTGATTCATTTTTTCTAAAACACATAACCTAACAACACATTTAAATTTACTTATTTTTTATTTTTAAATTAACTACCAAAATAGTTTTCTTATGTTTAACGGTAATTCAATCACAATAGTTGATATTTTTCAGTTTGAAAATTAATCTTTTCACTGTACTCATTTCAGCAAACAAATGAATCAGTTATAAATAGTTCCTTAGGTTCATTTCAGTGAATTGCGACATTGAACTAAATCGACACAAAAACAAAATACTTGCAATTCTAAACAAAAATATTATAAATTCCCCTTTAAATTACAAACAATTAATAAATATTCATTGCACTTTGCACATAAATACATGATGAGTATTGTAAATATATGAAAAAGTAAGGAACTCAAGCATGCCAAGTAAATAAAAATCTCTGAAGAGGATTTTTTTCTGTCACACACTGGATAACACGGTGGAGGTGCTGGTGGTGGTGGAACGCAACAGAAACCAAATATTGAAAAACAAAAATGTCTTTTAATTCGAATCAATCCAACAATAAAGAAGAAGGCCAGGAATATGGTCTTATAACACCAAAAATGGATGTAGATGAACAGAGTCAGGATCAGAATCCCACCATCAGTGTGGTAAGTTAAGGATTATCACAAGGAAGTAATAAAAATTTATCTATTTTTTTTCAATCCTTATAGCAAGTCATGAACAACGAGAACAGTGTTCTCAAGAAAATTGCCAATCTCTATGCCGAACAGCTAATGTCCGATATCATTTTGGTTGTGGGCGAACAACAATATCCCGCCCATCGTGTTATACTATGTGCCAGCAGTGATGTATTCCAGGTGATGCTTATGAATCCCGAATGGAATGAATGCCGCAAACGGGTGATCGAACTGGTAGAGGAACCATGCTGTGAAGCCGTGTTTCCACAATTTCTCAAATATTTATATGTGGGCAAAATCGACATCTCATTGAGTACTGTGATGCCTATGCTAGCCTTAGCCCACAAGTACAATGTCCAAGATCTGGTCGACCTTTGCGTACAATATATGATGAAACATATCGCCAAAGCAGCTACACAGGGTTTTCTTGTATCATGGCTACAGTATACAATAGCGTTTAGTCCCCAACATAAAGATCTGACGGAGGCGCTCAAACGTTTTCTCAAATGGAATTTAGAAATAGTTTCGGAGTCAAAAGATTTCGTAGAATTGGATGTTAGTGTTATGGCAATATTACTGCAACAAAATGATTTGGTTGTGAGCAGTGAATATAAACTGTTTGGCATCTTACAAAATTGGCTGCTGCAGCGCAAAGATTTACTGGATAATGATGACACTCTCACCGATGTGGAGAAACATGAACATTTCATTGCCTTGGTTGAACAAACTGTTGTACATATACGTTTTGCCATGATGACACCTCGGGAATTGGCTCATTTGCTTATATTTCCTCTGTTGGAATACCACAAGGAATTTATTGTTCAACGTATGGCCATCGGTATGTCATATCAATCGGGTCAGGAAGAACGTGTACAGGAGGTACGAAATTCTAAAGATGGATGTTTGCAGTTTACTCCACGCCTGTACATGAATGATACCTGGAGCATTAGTAAAATGGTTAAAAATTTCGATATGATTGAAAAATATAGCAATTATGTTACGTGCTTTTTTACACCTGGTAATATTGCGGAGACCGAGGATGGTATGTAGGATTTGTTTTAAATTGTTTAAATATTTCGATATGTCAATAACAGAAGACCTCTGAAGGTAGACTTTTTGGTGTTCTATATGAACAACTTTTGCTATTCTTTAGGAAGACCTTCGGCCTTCTATAAGAATACTTTTGCTCTATTTTATTTTATTTTGCTCTATTGGTCTTCTATTCGAAGGCATCGTAGTCTACTAGAGGAAGACATTTTTGTATACAAAAATATATTTTCAAACAGTATTTTCTAGGGACTAACAGATCTATAAGCGTGCTATTTTTAATAAATAATTTTACAAGAACAAACGGAGCCTTTGGTGTAAATTATAAAGAATCGAAGGACTAAGGTCGAAATATAAGCGTGGATTTTTTAAATAATATTTTCTAAGGGCAATCAGATCGGTAATCGTGGATTTTTTAAGTAATATTTTCTAAGGATCAATGGCACCACAGGGGTGGATTTTTTAAATAATATTTTCTACGGAAAGAAAATTTTTCTAAGGACTAAATAGGCATAAATTATTTTAGGGACTAAATAGGCGTGGATTACTTTCAGAATACTTTTCTAAATACTAAAAAGGCGTGGATTATTATCAGAATAAATTTCTAAGGACTAAAAAGGCGTGGATGTTTTTCAAAATAATTTTCTAAGACTAAATAGGTGGGGATTATTGCCTGAATGATTTTTTAAGGACTAAATATAACTAAATTATTTTAAGAATAATTTTTAAGGACTAAATAGGCGTGGATTATTTTTGGAATAATTTTCTGAGGACTAAATATCCGTGAACAATTCTGTAAGCATTACATAGGAGTGGATTATTTTCAGAATAATTTTTTAAGGACTAAATAGGCGTGGATTATTTCCAGAATCATTTTCTAAGGACTAATAGTTTAAAAGAACAAATTTTTAAGGACTAAATAGGCGTGGATAATTTTGAGAATATGTTTCTAAGGACTAAATAGGCGTGGATAATTATCAGAATATTTTTCTAAGGACTAAATAGGTGTGGTTTTTTTCAGAATAATGTTGTAAGGAATAAATAGGCGTGGATTATTAAAAAACTTATTTTCTAAAGAAAGTTAATTATTGACGAAAAAATATATTTTAAGGAACAACCTGGATATCTATTATTTGATATGCTATTTTAGACAATCTTTCTCATCATTAACTAAACAAATTATCTAAGAAAAGAGGAAATATTGAAGGTTCTGATAACCTTACCTAACTGGCAGTAATAACTGTGACGCCATAATTAGTTTTCTTCAAATTAAATTTAATCTTTATATTCTGTTTGGTAACCATCATTATTATTCCCTTATCTTGTTTATTTTTTTTTGCTAATTTTAGAGCAACCATTCACCTGGGAAGTTGAATTCTTTCCACGTGGCATTAAATATAATAAAGCCAAAATGGTATGGGGTGAAGATGTACCCGAAGTGTCCATCAATACCGTGCGTGTAAGAGTGACATGTAAACATTTACAGGTGGAAGAGAAACGATTTAAGGTAAATTCCATTACGACTTTATTTTATTATTAGTTAAATAAAAAATTGTTTTTTTTTTTATTTCTTTACAGATTGCCTGTCTCATAACTGGTGTACAAAATAAAATTGATCATATCTTGACGTTGCACGAACGTACCGAATATTTTTCCAATAAATCCCGTGTCGTGAATATTGACAACCTAATACCCTACGATGAATTGGCATTATCTTCCATTAATCTCTCGCCACATTTGGTTGGGCCAAATCGTAATAATTTAGAATTACAAGTTATTATTGTGCCCATGGGTCCGTACACGTGTCGTAATACACCATCATTTGATTTTAAATGAATTTCAGTGTAGTTTATAAATTAACTGAATGAAATGAAATAGAAAAAATGACTGACTATTGTGCAACAACAAGCCTACGAGCATCTCCTCTCCCAAAAAAATGTAAATTTTAAATTTATTTCCTAGTAATTTGCCATTTAAAGTAAACATCCATAAAAGGAAAACAAACTAACCACACAGACAACTAACAAATTGTTATTATTTTTTTTTCTTATAATATGAATTTAGTTTATGTTATGTTATTTAATATTGAAAACAAAAATGTTATTATAATATTTAAGTTATATATTTCTGTTTTTAAAACAATGTCTGGTTGAGGTTTTGTTTTTATGGATATCATATTCCACATCTATTGCCTAATATACAGCTAAAGAAATTTTTAAAACCCGTTAATGGTGGAGTTTAGAAATAAAATACTCCATTATTGCCTTTTATTGAATTTGAAATTTGCGTATTTTAATTTTTTCATATTTTTAGCTGTGTAATGGGCTTTAGATAACAATTCAGTGCTTTAATTACGTTTCCTTTTATTTTTTAATATATACTACAACAAAAACAAAACAAAATGATCTTCATTCTCGTTAGAAGAACACACACACCTTACAACAATAGAGAAAGTATTAGATAAGTTGGCATGAATTGTATTTTTTTTTCGCCCAAACTTGTGTGTTATTTCTTTCTCAAAATCGTGAAATTTTAAATGTATTTAATTCCAAAATAAACACCTTTTTATAGGACAAAATAAATGAAAAATAAAAATAAATATTCATCTGGAAATTATTTCATCATGGTGTGTATTTGCTAATTCAACATTGTTGTTGTTAGTTAAATGGGTAAGGGTTTGATCGTTTTTGATTATGTATGCTGATTATTTAAAAGTTACTCCATTTAAGGAAATATTTTTGAAGGACCTACAGAACTTTTCTAAGCATTAAATAGGCGTGGATGAATTATTTGCCAAGTTCTAAATGGGAGAGGATTATTTAAAAAATTATTTGCTATGAACTAAATATACGTGGATTATTTAAATGAATAATTTTCTAAGGTGTACATTTTTTATAAAATTTACTTAGTTATAAAAGTAGATTTTTAAAGAATAGCTTTTATGGAGCAAGCGTAATTTTTATTAAAGAATATTTTTGTAGATATATGTGTAGATTTTTACACATTTCAAGAGATCTTCTTATGTAGATAAAATAAGTAATTTTTAAACAAATACTACCCAGACACAGGTCATCGACATTTTTAACCCTGCATAATACGAGATTGAACGAAGACGAGGAAAATATTTTAACATTTTGTTAAAAATTAGTATTACTATCTCCACTTAGAGACAATTTTTATTTTTGGTCGAATTTGTTTAAATACCATAAAACAATAATCCAAATAATGTTTAGGCCTAACATTACAAAAATACTCTTTGTTATCAAGAGTGTCATAAAGATTTTAGCTTTTTATATTTTACCTGTTTTTATAAAAACGTGTTTTTGAACGTTTTGAAGGCTGATAAAAGAAGTGTTAAAAAAACTTATCCAAAAAATGAATATTCATATGAAAATATTATATAACAATCCTTTGGTGGTGTTTAGAAAGGATTGATAAAAAACCACACATATGGCTTTTCTTGACCTTAGAAATCCACGCTTATAGACCTGATGGTCCTTAGAAAATATTATTTCGAAAATCCACACTTATAGACGTGAAAGAGAGTATTTAAAAAACCTCGCAAATTGACCTGTTGGTCCATAGAAAATCTTTGACCTGTTGGTCAAAAAAAAATCCACGCTTATTGACCTTTCGGTCCATAGAAAATATTATTTAAAAAATCCACGCTTATTGACCTGTTGGTCCATAGAAAATATTATTTAAAAAATCCACGCTTATTGACCTGTTGGTCCATAGAAAATATTATTTAAAAAATCGACGCTTATTGACCTGTTGGTCCAAAGAAAATATTATTTCAAAAATCCACGCTTTTTGACCTGTTGGTCCATAGAAAATATTATTTCAAAAATCCACGCTTTTTGACCTGTTGGTCCATAGAAAATATTGTTTATAAAATCCACGCTTATTGGCCTGTTGGTCCTTAGCAGATATTATTTAAACCAGTAAGGAAAGTAGTAATGTCGGACTGGGCCGACTATATGATACACTTCACCACTTTGTATATATTGTACATATGTACCTTTACAATTGCATCTAATGTTACATCGAAGGAACATACTCTCCTCTTTTTCTGTAACCTATGATAAATTTAATTTAATTCGAACAGTTATAGAGTCGTCTGCGTACCATGGGACAAATTTATGGAAAGCGATTTATAGTAAAAATGATACACGCTATTCGGTAATTTCAATCAGACACCCGTTCGAAATACATTTGGAAGCTATGACTGCATCTGCACCAATTTCAACGAAACGCAATAACGTCATTCAAGTCTCAATTTGATACGTTGTACAAAATTTCGTAAAATCGGACGAATATATACATACGGGAGCTATATCGAAATCGGAACCGGTTTTTCCGATACTTACCACACATCGTTCTAGACTTAATTCAGTACGCTATGTCAAATTTGGTGCAAATCGAAAGCTATACAGGGTCTTTGGTGCATCGTTTACACAAAATCGGACGAAAAAATATATGGAAGCTATATCGAAATCTGAACATATTTTCCCAAAACTTACCACTCATCCTTCCAGACTCAATTCACTACGCATTTACCTAAAATCGGGCGAAAATATATATGGGAGCTATATCTAAATCTAAACTGATTTTCAAATCAAATTTCTAGACTTAATTCAGAGCGCTATGCCAAATTTACCTTAAATCGGATGAAACAACATATGGGAGCTGTATCTAAATTTGAACCGATTTTTACGAAACTGCACACATGCACACATCAGTCTAGGCTGAATTCAGTACGCTGTGCCAAATTTCGTGCAAATCGGAAGATTTTTAGGGACTTTGGTGCACATTTACCTTAAGGGGACCCCCCCCATTCTCGGGGTCAAATTTTTTTCTGATTTAATTCGATTCTACACTAATTCAAGAATGTCTCTACAAAATTTCAAGTGAAAATCTCAAGTACTCTTGAAGATATAGCCGATTTATTGTGTCAGTATCAAGTGACGGCTAAAGGGCTTCGAAACTTTAAACGCGTTTTTCTCTTTTTCGAATGGCGGGCACGATAACTCAAAAACTAATAACCCAATCGATTTCAAATTTTTACACGTTTCTCTGTGAGTGTATAGCTATCGTATGAACTAGGATAAAGCCAATCGGTGAAGATCTTCTTTATTTTTTAACTTGGTTTTTGGTCAAAAATCGGCGATTTTCCAAAAATATTTTTTCAAAGGTACGCCATTTTGTTAATTTTAGAGCGAAGTCAATAATCCTAGTTCATACGATAGCCAGGCATGTACTCTTTCTAACACCGTTGGAATTTTCGGATTCCGATGTTCCAGTGAGGAGTTATCATGCCCGCCATCAAAAATAAGGACTTTTCTTTAATTACAAAAAACAACAACAAAGCAATAACAAAATTTTTTTATAAATTATTTTTCTTCTCTTTTAAATCTTCAATTATATATGTGCAAAGTTACAAACCTTAACAAGCATTGGTATTGATTTACCAGCCCATTGAAAATCTTGAAAAATTAAAATCGAGAATGGGTGGGGTTCCCTTAAATCGGAGGAAAATATATATGGGAGCTATATTTAAATCTGAGCCGATGTTTACAAAACTTTGCACACAACAGTCTAGGCTGAATTAAATACTCTGTGCCAAATTTCGTGCAAATCGGAAGATTTTTAGGGACTTTAATGAACCATTTACCATCCTTGGGCCAAATAAGTGACCTATGCCAATTTTCATCCAATTCGGATCATAAATGGGACCTGTACTTTGTTTACAATTTAACATGGACAGACGGATTTAAATAAATCCACGCTTATGGACCGGATAGTCCTTAGAAAATATTATTTAAAAAATCCGTGCGTATAGAACTGTTGGTCCTTAGAAAATATTATTACAAATTCCAAGCTGATTGACATGTTGATTCTTAGAAAATACGAGTATTATTTAAAAAAATCCTTAAGGCCCTTAGAAAATTTTTCACATTTCAATTTTTGTTTCAATGAAGGTACGAACGGAAGATTTTCCAACACTGAGGAAAACACTTTTGCTTTTCCGCGTCATAATTGATGATCTATTTTTATGCGTAGAAGAGAGAGATCGTTTTAGTTCCCTATTCACATGGAAATTATGTGTTTCGCTAGTGTTTGCGATTGTTGTTGTTGTCGTTGTCAAAGAGTTTTGAGATTAGAAAAGAACTAAAAAATCGGAATGATGAAGAGAATTCTTATCTAAGATGAGGGTGAGATAATATCATAATATCTGTCATTTAACATTTGGCTGATTTTGCATTCGCATGCCTATTCTAATACAATATACATTGTTGTTGTTTTTGTATTTTCCATCTGTTTTACTTTTAATTGTGCCCGTTTGATAAGAAGTGTGATATCAAGACAGAATCGTATTAGCTTAATGATCTTGGTCGTGGAATGCAAATAAAGTTTATTATTTTGAAAAATAAAAAATATATACCAAAACAACAACAACAACAATAACAGCAACAATTTATTATGACATTTGAATAAAGAGTAGAAGAGTTGGTCTTTACATTTGCAAATATTCTCGCATCATTTCATTTGCGTGCGGCATTGTTCGAAGACGTCTGTTTGTCTGTTATGTTCGAAGTTAATTTGAAAAACTTGTCATCGAATATTCGTAATTATTTTGTGGTGAAATATTTTTGTGCCCGCTCGAATTCCTTTCGTGGTGTTATCCTTGAGTGCTTAAATGTGAAAAGTTGAGCGAAGAAAGGGAAAATAATTGAAAAAAAGGAATAAAATAAATTGTGATATTAAATGTATAGTTTTTAAATCGAATACGATTTTTGAAGCGATTCCGTGCTGCATTTATAAAAAAATAAAATT